TGAACAATTGCAGTGATGGGGCACAAACCAGAAAAAAAGCAGAGCAGTTTGACGTAATTGTTTTGGCTCTGCAGTACTAAGAAAAAAAAGAAAAAAAAAAAGGTAGTAGATGTCATTTCTCCCAGAATGAAAGATGCTAATATTTGACTGTACTCAAGAAGAACAGCTGTTGATTATAACATCTCATATTTGCATCATCGCTTTTTGAGCATAACTATATTTGAAGTTTTAGTCCTTGAAGATCTTGGGTTTTTTTCCTACTCACTATTTCTAACTTTTACCTCACTTCGACACAGTCATAAGTCTATTTTGGTTTTACACTCAGGGACAAGTCAAGAGTCATGGAGATACTATATTGTGTGCTCTTTCTGTCATCTGTAATTTCTCTCAACATTCATCATTCTAAATCAGGCTCCAAGTTGCTACTAAATATATGCCTCTTACTGAATACATGGTTTGAACTCCTAAAGTCCTTTTCCATTAGCGCAAAGGTACAGCCACATCAAGAGAAACTGCTTTACAGATCTCATACTACGTCAACATGAACTAATGCACATCTCCTCCTAACATGATAAGCCATGAAATAATATTATCCAGTAATTCCATTATATCAACTACTGGAAAAGTAGTTTCTTAATTAACTAGTATTAACCATTATTCTTAAGTTTCTGGTTAAGAATATTCCTGCTAGTAGATACTTATAACAAGAGTGAAGCTTACACTGAACTTTCCTTTCCCCTTCTCATCTTTCTTTATTTCTTTAGAGAACACCTATTGTATATACCAGCTGCATATCAGCCAGGTGTTGTCCCAAAAATGTCAGCTACTGCTTGAGGCAGGGAGCAAATGCAATTTGGGACACACTGGTGACAGCTTGACACTTACAGTGGCAATGTTTAAATTTTTAACCAGGCATGCAACAGAAAAAACATACAGTTTGCATTATTCTTGAAAAAAAACACCACCTAATGTCTTACAGCTGGGATATGCAATGATGATGTGGAGGCAGCAGCCCAAAGGACTGCCTTCCATGAAATATCGTAAACTAGTTCCAGAAACATTCAGTAACTGTGAGGAGACTTGCTTGTTAGGTCAGAAAGGAATGCTTTAAAGCAGTTCATTACTTCTACATGGAAAAATTAGTATACAAAAATATGTAAAATATATAAAATATAGGGCCTGAATATTTCTTTCACTAGTTAATAGTTTCTCTTTCCAAATTTCTACCTATCAGTTTCTACCAATATGCCCAATGTTTTTTCAAATGAAGTTTGTATCAAATCAACCTCCAACTTATAAATGAAACATCTGAGACAAAATGTGAAGCAAAACATATTTAGTACTTTTCATAGCACTGTATGAGTAGTTTAGTGAAGTCATAAGAAGCAAAATTAAAAAAAAACCAACACAACACACAAAAACATGCCAAGCTCAAATTAAAAGTGGTCTATTCCTGTACAGCTATTTTCTACCCATGTATGTGCAGAACTTACTTAAACCTAAGATGATCTTTTTCTTTTAAGAATTAGAAATCCAATTTTATACAGATTTCTTTCTAGCAGCATGCTACGCCTTCCTTGCATTTGCATTATATTTATAAATCTTTATACCTGTGAAAAATGAAATACGCCCAATGTAATTCTTAGTCTTCATTTTCTCTTGAAACGATTAAGTTTCCAGAAAAATGCTGGGTTTTTACTGTCTCAGAGGGATGAACTCTGCATTTGGAATGATAGATTCAATATGCATTTTCTCTTTATATGAAAGTGATAAGTGTATTTTTCTTGGAGTCAATAGGCTGATCTTAGGGCTATTCAAGATTTGGATGAATATGAACCATACACTCAGAATGTAGACATTTATGTCATACCTCCAGTTAACCATTGCCAGTCACCTCTGGCAGGCATTGGTCCTATGTAATATTTAGAGAAAGTATCTATGCCTGCAAACAGGCACTGCTATTGATACCTCAACTCTAATGAGAACTTGCTTCCTTTGAAGATTGATTCTTCATTTTACTCAATACACAAGTCTATTTCAAAGAGTATTAAAGAATTTAAACATTGTGGTCATCAAGAATCCCAGAGCCAGGATATCATATTTATTTACCTCTCTTGTGTCAATGTTTACTAACAGATAGAGTAAACACTGAAAAGCAGGGAGAAGGGTCAGAAAATGAAATATGCTGCTCTCTTAGGTTATCCATTCACCTTTAGACTTCTGTTTTCTACATCTTTATTAATTCAGTGATGGATTCCTTGGCCAGAAACCCCCTTATTCTTTAGTACTGGTTACACAAAGCACAAAAATCACCATAACTTGCATTGGAGAATAGTGTGATACAGCTGAATAATCTGAATGTGAATTTGTTTATTGCTCAATGTGAAATTGAGCAATACTGGTAAAAAGTTATAATAATTTTCTACAGTCAGAAACATATCTGTTCAGACCTTTCTCAGCTACACGATTCTGATGTTGTGCCTCAAGTTATCTCAACATTCATTCATTCCAGATTCACTTTTTCATTCCATGAAGTTCAGTAAACATTTATCTCTCTGCACCCACCATTTCCTGGGTATTTTGCTGTGTTATGCTTGTCAGCTAGTCACTGCAATGCATTATTCTTTTATTGCAGTGTTTCTGAGGAATGTGGCTTCAAAACTGCATTGTGAAGAGGTCTGTAAGTTTCCCGTCTCTGACTGCAAATTGAAAACAGGACTAACATGATCAAATGTCAATATATGGACTGCCAGTACCCAAAGAAGAAAGAACCTACCACCACACAAATTCACGGCATGTAAAAATATTTCTCTCAGTCCAGCAGTAACAACCTGTTGTTTCTGTATACGCTCTCTGGTCACAGAGACAAACAATCCTCTCATTTTTATCTGTGAGCAAAGTTTTCTAGTGGAAACAATATCTCTAATATGAACAACAATTAGAAAACACATCTGCTGTTAAAATATTCCAGAACTGAAACCCTACACAATTAGCAGTCTCACCAAAAAGGAGAAGCAGAAAATCATGGGAAATAATCCAGGCATTAACCAATCACACCACACAGCTAAAATCTAAGTGTTATGCAGCACAGTTGTTACTCAGTAAGAAGGAAGAGAGGGTGTACCAAGAATGTACTTTTTTTCTTTCAGGATTATAATTCAATTTAGAAACTGAAGTGATCATAAAGTACACATGCTAGAGCTTAATTTTAGGTCAGAGTCATAAGTTTTAAAATACTGGCATCCTAGATTTTAAAAACATTATCCTGAGTGATGATTGATGAGCACAGCCTCATATGGATCACTCTTAGTTTAGAAAATGTACAATTACTGATGCCAGCAAGAAATCACACCAAGGCCAGATGAGGTTAATAAGAAATCAAACTCCATGTCAGTAGCATAATAGAAACTGAAATGAATAATCAAATGGGCAGAGTATTCATGCAGCCCAAGCAGGAAACTCCAAATAAATGAAAGGCACAAGGAAAGTCTAATTGTAAGCACTTAAATCGTTAAGTTGAAAAAGTTCTTTGTGTAGAATGCTGTAAGTTTCATAATACTTAAAATATAAAGGGATCTCATAACTTTCACCACAGTAAAAGGCAAGAACTGAAAAAAATCGCAATATAGCAAGATTAATTCAAAACTGTTAGATGTAGCAACAAGGAGAATTTATTTCACATTCATTCTCTACACTTCCCAAACTTCAGATATTTTTGAAGATGTACAACCACAGCAGCATTCCCATGTTCTCAGATCTTGTTTTGCAACTCTTTCAATCACTGGCATTTTTATGGGAAGCATATATAACAAAGAAGCAAAGGCTGTCATTTAAGACACCCAGTAACAACTTCAGCACCAAAGATGCTACCATCCAGATTATCTGAAGGAATAATTTAGGGCAACTCTTTGACTTAATCAGTGACATGCACTTAATATCTATCAGTACCAGGTTCACTATAAAAAATGTAACAATAAGAAACATTTTAATTATAGTGGAGAGAAACACCTTCCATTTCTTATTCCAGTGTTCTGCAAAGAGGAACGCCTTTTAAGCACATAAGCAGAATATCTACATATGTAGCAAACTTTCAGTGACAGAAGGGGAGATAATGTACAGCATTTAAACAGTTTACAAATGTCTGTAACCTGAAAATTCCTGTACCATTTGCACCAGCGGCAGGCCAACAATGCGTACCAACACAGGTATAAGTTGATCAATTTATAATAAAACTAAGTATTCAGTATACCTATCCTGCATGGAAATGAGACTTAAGTCCCATTTAAATATGCTCAAGAAAGTGTATTTAAATTTAAGAAAAAAAAGACCTAGGCAAAAAATTTTGCATATCTTATCAATACGTTTTTAAGCAGTTTACATTCATTTTACACTCCTGTCCATAAATGATTCACTGTTTTAGGACATTGTGTTAGAAATAACATTGACATAGGAAATTCATACAGGCTTTTCAATTATTTTAATGTTTATGATTAGGACTACAAGGGAGATTGTAGTCAGTTTTCAAATTACCAAAATATCTCCTAAGACCCTACACCTTAGCTGACAAGAACACGAAGGCAGGGGTCTTGATATGTCTCTGAAACAAGTACCAAGATCCTCATCAATGAATGGAACAGGTAAGAAATGTACATGCAGAAGTGAGCACTGCACTGAGTAGAATTTAGGCCATCCAAAACCAGCATTTGTTTTCTCTATTTGCACAATGCAGAGGATGAAATTCTATGGCCTACTTGTGCATAAGATTGAAAAAGATGACTCTAATGGCCTGTTTTGGACTTCAATCCATGTGTCTGATTTTCCTTTAGGCTATGTTTTCCTGCTGCTCTGGCAATAAGTAGTCTATATTTAGTCATGCTTAAAAGCATTTTTTTCCACTACTACAACAGTGCAAAGGGGTCTCAGAGTAAACACAATTCACATTCTGCACAGATTTAAAAGTTCAAAGCTTTTTTTTTTTTTCTTCAGGGAAACTCCTTTACCTCTTTTTCCATTTGAATTCCTTCTGCCCTGATGTTTCTTTCAAATACTTCCCTCTTTTCTGTCTGTGGATTGGATTTTCTGTATACCAGGATGTAGTCAATCCGACATTTTCCATCTCTAAAATACAATCCATTGGCTTTGTTTTTATCAGGTACTTCCTGTAAAGAGAAATTCAAGCAATTCAGTAATGTTAATTTGCTTTGGTAGTTGTTGCATCAGCGTTTGCATCAAGTTTTCAGTAATACTTGAAAGATAAGGAATTGTGACAAGATGTCCAAGTTTTCATGTACTTTACATACAGTGCCTCTGAGGTTGTCTGAAAGAAGTACAAATTTCCCCATTTCAAAACCAGGAGGTCTTCTTTGGTAGAAGTTTGGCCATGTAGGTAGGTATGGGATAGGAGAGAATAGAGAATGCAAGTCAACGTTCTTCTCCCACTACCCTCTAGAAAATTGGGAATAACTTTTTGCATTAAAAAAAGAGCAGAAAACAGTGTAAGTGAAATCTGAATATAAAAGAACTTAGTGTAGTGGAATGTCCATGTACACCCGAGAAGAATTATGAATGGCTTGAACATTAACTGTACTGAGAAACACTAAATTTGGTGAGAAGTTTCTTCTTGCTTTGTGATTACAGTAGCTTCTCTGCTTCACAGGACAGAGCCTTGTGCCTTCCTCACTCATAACTCAGAATTTTCTTGGCTTATGGAAAAGCTTAGGCAACCCACAATATATATTTGAACATAATTCCCAGTGTTTGGTCTAGTGATACATAAAAGGAATAAGTAGTATTTCTTGATTACTTCCATTAAAGAATGTGCCTGTTCAAATTTTTGCTCAGAGAGAAAGAAAATGTTGTTAATAAGAGGTCAAGTGGGTCCTTCTAATGAGATCCAAGAGGCAAACTTCTGGTCTGTTTTAGAAATTCACGAGATGAAGTCCTCTGAAGCTTCTCCTCACAACTAAACACTACTTCCACACAATACCAATTTTGCCCAGGGATTAAATTTTTTCCTTCACCCAAATTGAAACTGTGTGCAGCTGGTGAGTTTAGAGCATTTTGTTGAAGTAATGGATACAGTAAATGATATGTGAAAACAAACAGCTCTCCCTCAGAGAGGGATAATGGGTAGGGACTTCAGGGGGCATCAAGATGAGTTGACTTCAAGCTGAAGGGAGAGTTAGGCTAATTCCTCTTTCTCTTTCTAGAATTTTCTCAATTATTCCTGCCATAAAAAGCCATGCTCTATAATATATGATCCAATCCCCAGAAAAAAAAACAAATCCACTAAATTGCCTTTCACTTATAGGAGAAATAGGGAATTTTCAGAATACTTTCAATTAGGAGAATTGCTCTTTAACTTCAGTTACAAAAAAAGTGTTAATAATACTGATAGGTCAATTGATTCTAGGGAAGGGAAGGGAAGGAGAGGAAAGGAGAGGAGAGGAGAGGAGAAAAATCCAATTCAAGGAGTTAAATGTAAACTTACTACGTGATTCTCAGTGAGCATTTTCTTTAAATGGAAAAAACAATGAAAGCATCCAAATGTACCATCCCCTTAGTACACCCAATTTACTGAAAGAAGAAAGGGGAATTCTAACATTCCTTCACTGCAGTGCCTGCCTGACTCCTGACACAGCTTAATACAGACTTGATACAGTGGGAGCTGTTCTTTAAAGTGAAAAAAAAAGACGTAAGCCCTAAGGAAATAACAGTAATAAACCATTTATATCTATACTGCATATAATACTGACAAATGATTATATCAGGATATCAGAAGTATTTTTCACAGCGTATTAAATATGAAAACAGCTCAGGAAACACAGTCATTTTTTTTCCTATAAATGATGTTGAGAAGACATGAAAAACCAAGCAGAGCATTTAAATAAAAGAACAGTGCAGCAGAAGATTCAGAGGCAGTGGGCCAGCTTAGTGGTTCTGCTCTGGTTTCTAAGCCTCCTGCTGTTCTTCCAGTTCTGCAGGTCCTACAGACACCATGTGTATTCTAGCATACGAAGGAGGGCAGTGGGGATCTATCCATAGAGTAGAGGACAATCTGTACTGAGGGCCTGCTCTACACACCATGTAGGACTGAGGGTTTACTTTGGGCCCACTCCAGTGTTGTTCCAGAGACTCTGTAGCTGATATCAGCTCAAGTACATCTCACAATTTATTTGCATCCAGGAAAGATCCACGTTTGAACTCTGCAATACAATCCAAAGCATGGGTAGGGCTTATTGAGAGATTCACTTCAAATTTACACTCTTGATTGGAACTAAAATGGTAATAGAGAGCAGCTCAGACTTCAACACAAGGAATGTATCTTTCTCCACAAAGAACAGTGAATCCATTGGAAAAACAGATTTGCCCTCTGGCTTCCTATGTTTCACTTTTCTCTAAAAGAAATTCATTTAGCCTACACTGACTCATCAGTGCATGTAGAATCTTACAATTAAAGGATGCCTAAGAGATTTAGATAAGTTATTTATCCTGTAGGACTAATTTCTCAATAAGTATGACTGCCTGAGACAATTACTTTCTCTTGGATCTGTGAAACCATCCCAACTCCAGTATTGTCATTTTTCTTCCAGAAGGGTAGCTTTGACAACATTGTCACTTGGAAGTAGTTTTCATTTTAGAAATTCTGTATGAAAAATTCAGAGTGATAAACTCTAGCAGACTGGTATGGGCTCCAAGTAGGTACACTTGCTGTCTCCCTGTTATAGCCTGTAAGGAGGATTTACAGAGTGAGCTTGTTGCAAGAACTCTGAGGGTGCAAATGTCTTACATGATATAGAGACACTCAAATTAGCTTATCAGTGTTAGGAAACAGCAGCTGCAGGGCTTTTTGCATCAGCCTCAGCATTCTAGATTTGCGCTATTCCAAACAGAGACTTTTCTGCCACCTTGGTATTCATGCTTTCCAGACACTGCCTCTCCTTTCCCTCTGTCATGACTTCAAAATTCACTTTTCCTTAAAAAAAAAAAAAAAAAAAAAAAAAAAAAAAAAAGTCACTGAAGAAGACAGGAATTTGAAGGAAAAAAGAAATGTAGTTAACATGAACTGAGTTAAATACAAGACAACTAAGCTGAAACTGCACAGGGTATCAGAGGTGCCATAAAGAACATCAGAGTTCTTATGTGCAATATGAATAACTTTTTTTCTGTCATAATAGTGCAAGTTCCAATTTATACAAAAGATTGTTAAAACAAACACTATTCTGCACAATGTTAGTAACACTAGACCCAAATATCATTAGAATTTGAGTTTAAAGTGAAGAGTGTATGGGTGACTTTTACAGTTTTAATTTCAGAACTATTTATATCAGATGGAATCTCAAGAACATATATGTTATTTTAAGTAGAAATCTTTTTTTTTTTTAAAAAAAAGTTTCATCATTCTAACTTCCTTAAATACAGAAGGCTTATTTAATACGCTGTAGAAGGAAAGGCAGAATAGATGAAGAAAAAGCGTAGATCTTAAACCATTTTCTCCTTCTTTCTGTTGCAACTCTAATTCTCAGAAAATGAAGCTTCAATCAAAACAAAGTTTCAAAATTCTAGTAACAGTATGTCCCAAGATTTAGATTTGTAACTATACACCTAGTACCTACTGTTCTCTGATCAATGCATACAAAGAAAAACATGATTTTTAGTTTGCTCAGACCTCATTTCTGTCTGAATGAAACAAAAAATGATGACACATCTTTAGCCAGAGGGCGTGTTGAATCCTTATCTAGCTCTACATCTTTGATGTTACTGTTGATAAAGCTTTATCCATAAACTCTTCAAGGGATTTTCTGGTTAAGCTTGAGCAACAGACAACTGAAGCAAACAGTATTCCAACTTGTCAGCTAAGCAAACTAATAAGAAAACTTCATGTTCTTTTTTTTTTTTTTTCTCCCTTCCTCTAAGGTTTTTGGATTATACATTCATTTTCATGGATTGAAATAAGAACATCTGAAAAATGTAATAATTTTCTTCTGGAGTAAATCTGGGGACTCCATAGACTTCAAAACTTTTTTCTTTTCTTTCTTTCTCACTTTTTTTTTTTTTTAATTTTTTATTTTTTTTGGTAGGCCACGACTTTTTTTTTTTTTTTTTCTTTTATACATCTAATTGACCTATATGGTTATTTTCCTCAGTTATGGTTATGCAATAAATAAATAAATAAACCTATTCAACTAGGAGTATTTTCAGACATTTTCCCTTTCCCTTTAAAACACCTAAAAAGTATACATTGAACAGGTGAAAAAAGGTTTTGCTGTTAAATAAACAGCAGCATATATTGTTTTCTCTCATCACTTCTCTTCCTGATCATTTTCTGCTCACTTTTCCTCTTTAATATGCAAAAGTTGTGTGCTTTTCAACCCTGCCCTTTAGTTAGAGACCACATGGTACACGATCACAAAAAGCTACACATAAATATCATGCCAGGTTACTGTATTATAATTCAAGCAGGTAAAGAGGGCCCTTTGTAGGTTGTAGGGGAGGCTGTGAAAGAGCAGTGAGGGAAGGGGAAGATGAAATTGTGAGCAAGGTCAAACACATCTCTCAGTGGAATGAATTTTGTCACTCTAATTATCTGTCTAAACATTCTAGGAGTGTAACTCTCTGTGGGCTGAATTTCTAGTACAAGAAAAATTGCTCCATCAAATAGTCTTATTGTGCTCTCTGTATCAGTTGTAGTTTCCATGGAAATAAATAGGATGCATTACTTTTGGTACAACCTATTTAACCTACATAACCTACAAAACACTCTAGTTCCTGGAAAAGTCATTGTCTGTAACTATGCCTTCTAAGATACTAAACAAAAGACTTGGGGCAGAGGCTTAAACAATATCCTATGGTCTTCCATTCTTCTTAGTTGTTAGCATGGCATCTTCCAGTTCTAATGTGTGCCAATCAGCACTTTGCCAAAAATCCTCAGGCACAGCTGGAAGGTAACCACTCCAAGTAGTCTGGTTGTGGTCACTCGTCTTAAGCAGGTGAAAGGAGGTCTTAGAGCCAGGGATGAGTCCATGGTCTCCTCACTCCCTGAAGTAGGCATAGCGTTCATAGGCAGTTAGAACAGTTAAAAGGTATCACATTCCCTTCTGCCCAAAAGACACAGAAAGGCCCAAATTTTCATGCTCGAGCCTACAGTGCTTTGCCTGTATTATAACATAATTTAAAAGGGACTATGTGCTGAACGATGATTCTTCCTTGGTATGTCCTATGAATCAACATTACGTATCAAGTCTGTTCTGCTCTTTACTTGATTGGAAACTGTTGTGTATCTGACACCTAGCACCTTTCATGAGATTTACAAGTGCTTCTCCTTCATCCATACTCCAGATGGATTAAGATAAGGGAAATCTTCTCTTGTAGAAAATGAGATTTTGAATGAAATCACATTTATTCCCTTTCTATAGTGAACATTATTTTAGTAATTTTCTGTCTTACCTCTCCCACCACTTCCAACCTGCTGGCATCATCAGAAGTACTGGTCAAGTTACCATGGTGAAGCAGGGAATCATCATCTTTGGAAGGGCTGTTCACACCTTCTAGCTCATCAAAAAAAATGTTGACATCCTTGGCTACTGAAAAACAAAGATAAAAAACATATGTTTAAATACATTCGAGCCAAATGAAGATGAGTGTAACACATTATCTGTTATCCCGCTTTTTAGTTCTGGTGTATCTATGACGTTAAGTTTAAAATCTCCTGATGAGCAGTGGTGAAGATTTAGGATATCATAGTATCTCTCTGATCTTAAATAAGTAATCAACTGTCACAATAAAACATTTGTTAGCTATTTCCTTGGATTCTCTTAGGATAAGTGGCTTAAAGGATTGCTTTCTTTATCACAGCCACAAAAAATTGCTTTCAATGAGGAAGGTATTTTTAAACTACTGCACAAAATATCAAGTTAGAAATTGCACAGATCTGCGGCAGAAGATCTCAAATAAGTACTGCTACTTGAAAGACACTGAATATATGAGCCTGGCTAATCATAACTTTCACCAAATTTGGCATCTTTTTATATATATAATGCTAACATATTCAGATTACTGATTGCCCAGCCTCCAGTCATGCTACATTAACCCCAACTTGATAAAAATCAAGGAGGCGTAAGGTCCTGGACCACATTCCCCTGTTTTGGAGGCCTGTCAGTGGGTCTCAGGTCCAAGACACTGGTGTACATGGAGAGAGGCCCCAGACAGTGCTCAGGGTAGCCCTGCTTGCCCACCCCAGGTCCATGTCTGTCACTGATGCCCCTCACTGGGCCTAATCTTGATCCCCAATCTGCAGGCTAAAGTCCTCGCCTGGCCTCAGCCCATCCCCAGAGAGGTGCCCAGTGCATGGGGTTGCAGCTGTCCCAAGGCTCCCTGGCTGCTCTGCTCCCACCTGAGTGGTGGGGTGGGCCCTGGCTATGGGGCACTGCCCTGATAATCCAATGGGGAGCCCCCATGGAGCAGTCAGCTAACATCATGTGTGACTGAATACAACAACTTGAGTAACTGAGTTTAATTTCTTGCAACTTTTATGCAACGTTGTGTCATGATAATTTTATAGTAATTAAAATAAAAGCATTGGAAGACTTTGAACGCGTTAAATGCTGGCACTGTACTCAAGCTTAGAGTCAGGAGACAATGGGAAGCTGTGGGCAGAGTGGCTTTGCATTTCTACAGTACCATAAAGGCCATTGGCTTCAGAGACTGAGGGGCTGCTGGACAGAAGACATGGGAATGGAGATATGGGACAGGCAGGCTGCAGCCAGCTGGGTCTATCTCTGCACTCCAAAGCTGCAGATCTTGGGTGAAAGGATGGTGAAGAGCTGCATGTGGGGAGAAGAAAGATATCTTTGTTGAGGATCAAGCCTCAGCTGTGCAGAGGTTTCATTTACCTCTCCAGCCTCATGTTTCATAGGCAAAACCCAGAATTATGACAGCAGAGTTGTTTTGGAAGGGGCCCCCAGAAGGCAGCTGCTGAGCCTCTTCCCCTGACTCATTCCTGGCAGAAATTTGTCTAGTCCACCATTCCTCACTGTTTTGCTAATCCGACTGACTTTTTGGACACATTTTTCTGTTGTACAGTATACCCCCGGCCCTTTTGCTTCTCTGCTGTTCCCCTAAGTAGATGACAGGCAGTTGTCATTACTGTTGATGTGAATTTATATTAACAGATAACAGACAAAAATCTCTAATTGCTAATGGCAACTGTACTCCATTTTTAACTCCTGGCTGCAGGTGTAAAAACACATTCCTCTACTGTGGAGAGAGTAAATAGCTGCCAGAAATTAAAGGACATTAACTGTTCCCCAGCCATCATAAGTGCTATGTGACCTCCTTTCCACCTTTCCCTTCTTCAGTGGGCTATGACCTAGTTTAAGAAATCTTTTTCCTTTAAATCTCCAACGCAACAGACTCTGTAAATTACCTGTGCTTTACTCTCACAATGCAGGGAAAGATTTCTTCATGTCCTGGACTTGCATCTATGCTACAGTTTACATGTATTATTATTTTACTGTCCACTGTGAGCACTGCTGCCCTTTTGCACTTGCCTTGTATAGTATCTAAAGTCTGTTACTACAACTGTGGGTAGATTTAAAAAAAAAAAAAAGAAGACCCTATTAAAAGCTTCAAGAATTCTTCATTTGCACACACACAATAAGGACAATGTTGACAACATACCTTGTATTTTACATCACAGTACTTTAACTTATGAGGCCACGAATAATTTCAGCAGCAACAGAAAGGTATACACATCCAAACTAGATACAAACCTAATCAAACCTAATGAACTAACATGAATACTGTAATTTTTAATTGAAATTCAGAATTTCTAATGCTTTATGAATGTATTCTCCATCTAGGCAGTATAACAAGAAATTTTGTGCCAGATTAAATGTTTTTAGGATAACATACTAATCCCCAAGTTTAGCAATTTTGGAGATGAATATTCTATCTCATAAGATAATAATCTAGATGTAGATCACTACCAGTTTTTGCACAAATGTTCAAATGAGAAGAATACTCAACATAAAGAACTACTGGAACAAAAAAACCTTTGAATTGATTTGAAGCTTAGCTACAAGGACCTGTCTGGACTGCCAGTAATGGAAAACTACTTATATCAATAGCACACAGGTAATTGTTGGTTGGAAGCTTCAACGAACAGGATAAATAGTGAAGAGATGTTCTGAACTACCTTGTCTGTGATCCAGCTGTCTATGACCCTCTTCCAGTCACAGAAAGTTTTGCTACTGGTGAGAATGCGGAGATCTTTATACTTCAGTTGCCTTGCTGTTTTTATTTTTGAAGATACACTCTTATTATTTCACTCACTGGTACTAAACATGGGACTGAAACATTTGCTAAGAGCATTTTTCTACCCAAATCTCATTGGATAATAAACAATATAATTTAATAAAATATTGTGCCACAAATGTCAATAAGTAATTTAAAAACTCACAAATCTTATTTGCTTCACTTCAGCAATGGTGATGATACTTCCAGTGCAACTCTTCTGTTGGCTTTACCTAACTCGGCTATTGTACTGCAATGAATAAGAGCACTCACTCCTACACTGCTGCTAAAGGCATCATCAGGGCTCCACTTTCTCTGCTCCCTTCAGACTATGATAAATACATATATCATCAAATGATCCTAACAGAATGATATCTAATACTTTTATTATTTATATGCTTTTGACCATTCATTTGAGAAGCAGGCTGGTACTGGTATATGGTGATATCTTTTTAGGCAATGAAATTTAATACCAATGCAGAGCAGTATGTACATTGCTACGGGAGATATCAAGAACTCCCCCCTATGGTTTTAGATCAGCTTCATTATGCATGTTCATTTTCCCCCTTCATGTTCCACTTTGTAGGAAAAAAAAATAAAAATCAGTGAGTCGAAAATTCAGAATCCCTTGAGGAATTAAAAAAATGTGTGAATACAAATCATTTTAACACAAATGTAGCAGAATCACATATCTTGGAAACTGAACTCTAGGAAATTCTAAGCAAGAATCCCTGTGAAACTCAATAGTTCCACAAGCCTCTCTGGACAGAGAGCACTCAAAAGTTACACCCTTACCGTCCTGAAGACGGACACTCAAAATTCAAGGTGCCTAAAAATAAGAACTTTCATTCAAAACTGAAAGTTGACTCATCTGGGGCAAGATGGAAGTATGGTCAGAGATGATGCTTCTGTTAATTAACAGCTTTATTACTGATTGTCAAACTTTGCCACCAAGTATATTTTAGTTTTGGGGAATACAAGTTATAAATCAATATTGCAGAAGGTGCTCTTTGGAGACTTTTAGGTCTATCAGGTTGCACTGAAGAGTGAATTTCTTTAAAAATTATTCACAGCAATGTTTATAGTATGTGTAGAGTCTTTTTACAGGAAGATAATGGTGAAAATGGTTGATTTTAAAATTCCCAGTATAGGAAAATAGTTCCTAATAAAAAACTTGAGAACAAAACACCTATTTTGCAGAGAATTACAAAGCTTGAGTAGCTTTGCAGAAAAACCAGGACTCCTCCATTTTGTTGTACTACAGGTTATTTTTTTTGCTTCTTTCTGTTGGATTTTTATATACAAGCATTTTCCTGCAGTCAGTGAGCCTGGCAGATACAAATATTTCTGCAAGGAGGGAATGCTAGAGCTACAGCAGCCCAGAACTTTTTGAAATGCTAAATTCTGTAACTATGCAGTGATCTGTTACCCTGTCTCAAGAAAATCACAGATTTATGATTTCCAGACTAGGAGGAAAAATGAGACAATCAAATGATTTATTTTTATTAAACCTCTCAGGAGTCAATGCAAACTGGAAAGCCAGAGATATTTTAGTTTTGATTTTACTGCAATGGCAGTGGAAAGAACCAAATCACAGGAGTTTATGGAAAGAGCTTTGAAATCACAACTTTTTTTTTTTTTTTAACAGAACTATTTACCACTTTTCAGCAAGACATCCAACTTCTCAGAACAATACCTAGGATAAAGCCATGTAAGCCTTTGCCAGCTTTTGTCAGGGCACCCCTAGGCATGTCTACCCTTGGCCAGACCCCCAGAGCTCCCCCACCTGCTTCAGCCTCATATCCCCACATCTCCCCGAGGCTCATCAGCCCCTGTCCAAGCCAGGCCACATCAGGGCTGGGCTCCAGCTCCCTGTGCCACCTGCCCAGCTGGGCCCACCTGCAAGCCCACGGTCTGACCTTGACCCAGGGTGCAGAACAGGTGCATCATCCCCTTTGGCAGTTTTACACCCAGTGCAATCCTCTACTTTACAGTGCATATTTATAGCCATTTTAAGATAAGTAAGGATTGTTTCTTGACTGCCTCTTATAGACTACTGATAATTTCTGAACATACTGCTGTCAAGAGGAAACTGAAGCACTTAGACGAAAATTTTGGAAATGCATGTTTAAGACTCAAGCATGAATTGTGGTAGTCAAACACAGAATTTAGCTCTGAAGCATTAGAAGTGACTTTTAGTTCTTTTATAATATCAGTACATTCACATGGAAGTATATATATGTAATACAATAACTATCTTCATTCTTAGTCTAAGAAAGAATAAGGAGGG